TCCCGTTTGCTCAACAAAAATACGAAGAAAATCACAACATTGATTCTTTATGCCGAGATTAAGTGAAAGTGGATTTTGAAAAATGTAGCAAGTAACATTTGGTGGGTAACTCGCGGATAGGGCAGTAGTAGTGATTCCTTTCATTCCGTCGATTGTCCAACAAACAGACCCTCGATCGACCATGCACACGGCCCTTTAATTCTTTCACGTCTCCGTGATTGGGAAATAAGAAGTGACAAATAATTGTTATTTATGTGAGTCTCTGTTAGCTCGAGGAAAACGAGCAAGGGTATTAATCATAACGTGTTTACAGAACTGAGCTGAACCTTGCTATAAAATTACGTCTCCTAAGGTCTCTTCAAGTGAACATGAACATATTTTAGAAAATCAATCATTGTTGGACTCTATTGTCAAGCAGTGTTGAGCACCATTTCTATTTCCTCACACAAAACTTTATTTAGAAAAATGAGGACCCTTTAACATCTCATTCGCCGTTTAAAGTTTTATGGAGGCTAGTTCGTTTTTTTCTCGGAAAATGTGAATCGGGTCCGAGTTTTGTTGAGTATGCTGAATGAGTAGTCAACTGTGCTTATAGTACGTTTAAAATGGTTGACATGATAATAGCAGAGCATCAATCACTAGTAACAGAGTAGAACTCTGATTTGCTTTACCATCGGAACAATTGCCATTCAGTTCGTCGCCTTACAAACATAATCTGCAAAGGTCATCAGCTCTGGGCGAGGGTTCGATCGCAGTGTGAGAACTTAGCCTCCTACATAAATGACCATGAATACTGGTTGACCTGATTTTTCTCAAAATTCTGTGAGAATTTTGCTAGTTATTTTCGAGCTTTCAATACAGTATGCTGCAAACGTTTCTTTATTGAACAGGTTTTCCCAGGCAAGTATGATAGCAATTTGCCGACCCAGGATGGATGAAGTGCTTAGTATGCATGGCCATGGTTAAACAGTTTGGAGTAGCACATGTATAGCGCCACATTTCTAGCCCTTGCGACTTCCGCATCCTGACTTTTTATTAGTAAGTATCGATTATTCTTCTGAATTGTTCTTACACGCTGCTTTCACAATCTTGATCATACATCATCTATTTTTGTCGACCAGTTTTATAATAACAATATGGAGTTGGCGTACTTTAAGGTTACAAAACCTAGAAAAGGTACCTGGAGCTCATCAAGCCTGAAATTAATTGGCGCATACATTTCGGACTGTCCTCCAAGATCATCACTTGGCTGTCGACCTAATCATGAAAAAATACATATGAAACAATGTAAAGACTCGTGTATATCATATATGGTCATGATCATCGTCAATGTTTCATTAACGAATTGGGTGCACGTATATACGACTGTCACAGTGACTTCTATGAACGAACCTCGGTAATAATCAAAAATGTAGAAATGGCTAAAGAAGCTTGGAAAGAAAAGGAGAAGAAAACGAGAACAGAAATGAGAACAGAAAAGATCGGGCGGCTTCCATATACCAAAGTGGTCACAATTTTAGACTGAGAAAGAAGGAGAAGTGTTTATCAGTAAGAATTTTTACTAATAGTGAACATTGATTTGTTTTAGAGCGATTTTGTACGGACAATATGAAACCACTATAATTGTAACAGTTTTGTTAAACCTACCTGAAATTTGTGAATATCCACTTTCTTCAGTTTGAGGTGATATGCAGAACTGAAATCTTTTCTTCTGTTCACAAGAGAAAAATGAGAATTGATAGAGGTGGAGATGAAGAGTACACTGGTTGTAAACACTTCACATTCTATGCAATGTATTCTATTTTCAGTTGACTTTACCTGGATTTTCAATGTTGTGTATATTGGTCAGCAAGCATAAAGACAAGTTTTTATGCATATCCAACTTGCGAAAAAATCCTTTATAATCACAAATTCTGATCTTAACTTTCTTCATATGATATCAAGAAGGCTAACAACGATTTGAGGTAATCAATTCCAATGATGAGTGCGTCACTAACAGTTGCATTGCTCTCTCTAGGCGTCAACCACCATAACCTTTCCAGTCCACTACTTACATTGAGTTCACTGTGACCGCATTGTGAAAGACGCTTAGCAAGAAGACCAACATTCGCCAACCGTGCTCACCAAAGTTTACAAGGGATTTGAAATCTCTGTCCAGAAACTCAGCTAAGAGTAAACCATTTTTCCACAACGCAACATTCCATACTCTATTCCAGCAATTCTATCATTTGATTCGTCTCTACGCATCAGTTGTCTACAGAAGGTGTCGAATTTCCATTGCAAATTCAGCTGCTATTTGAAAGTATTGATCTTCGTTATGAGTAGTCTTGATTGCTGGTCATGTAGAATCTCATGGAATATTGGAACAGCTAAACTAGGGCGCAGGCGAGTGTTCACCATCGGAAGTCGCAAGGTTTTGTGAATAAGTAGGGTGCTTCTCCCAGACAGGATTGGTATCACTTTGCCTACGCCCAACTCATAGGATGCTTTGCTCATTGCGAAATGGTTTCGAAGCAGTGACCTTGCGCATAATAATGAAAGGCTGCTCCTACCACCACGCTTTTCCCTCCTTGACACTTTACTTCATACTTGACACTTGAATAGCCCGTCTTCAGTGGTTGTGCGGACCCCACCAAAATCTCCATTTTTCGGAGATTTGCTGGTTAAGCCATTGTGGCTTCCTGGAATCCCGAGGTGAGCCTGGCCAAAGTCTGCCCCAGGCCTTCAGCACCACACGCAGTCGCAGCCCTTGTGGATCAGAGGGAGATCTGCCACCATGCGGGTTTGATACGAGAACGGTGGTGGATCCTGGTATTGCTTTACTCTTAGCTAGGCTTCCTGATGGAAACGCCGGACTCTTCCTCAGCTTGGGAGACCCTGCCGAGTAAATGAATCCCACCGCTGTACATCGCAGTTCCACACCCAGAAACACCTTCCAGCCACAATGAGGCGGTAAGCCGTTGGGAGGTCCTAACATCTAAGCAGTGAACACTTTTTGTTCGCTATTCTACGTTTTGAAGAGGATGGAAAATAAGTGAACTATTCTTAGGAATTGTGTTTCCATGGAAGAAACATGGCTGTACATATAATTAATCTCTCTATGATTAACAAGGGTGCGTGTGGCACAATGATGGGAGGTGCCCTGCAACACACATTGGGTCGATCCCCGCTGCTCCGGCCCACAAAGCCTTCCAACACTCCAGGGTTGGCAAATTGGTACCAGACTTGTCTGGGAGGATAACAGCACTGGTTCGATGTATCGGTAGACCATCGCAAATCAGTGTATAAGCCAGATATGCATTCAATCACCTCCAACGATGATTGCTGATGTCGAATGCATTGCATATCCTTCAAGGATTGATCAACGCCGGAGACTTTATCCTTCATCCTTTTAGGGTTCACAATGCTCCGCCTCTGTCTACGGCAACAGCTTGGCCAAGCAGCTACAATGAATTCCTCCGCATTTCGTAACTCTGTCACAACGAAAAGACAAAAAGGCATGATATATTATACGACGAAAATATTGCTTAAGAAGTCCTCCACTTACAATTAAAAAGAACGTTGCCAAAGACTACAAGCTGTTTGCCAAAGGGCTCCAAAACTGTGACAAATATGTTTCAGCTTGCAACAAGTTAAAACAACGCATACTCTTCTACCACAGAGCTTGTCGAAAGGGTAAGAATCGTTGAAAAAATAGACACCACTGCATAAAAACCGCTGTATTTTTGGCGATAAATTTACTTTGTATATATGGGAACGCAGGGTTCCGTAAGAAAAACATTGGAGATAGAACTTATTGCAAGAGCTTATAACTTTCGCCCCGCTTTGAGCTCTGCTGAACGAAGAAATAGGATTCCTACATTTCGACATGGCGTAGAATTAAAGCACCATTGAAAGCATAGTATTCTAAGTCATTCTGAAGCACAACTAGCGTTTCTAAGCTTTGAAGAGGCTGTCATTTTTATCAGCAGATGGATCATCAGCACGCACGGTCTTTAGTTGACTACTGTCTTGAAGTCACGATTGTATAACCTTCCTGCTACCTTCTTGTCACCACCATAGAACAGGCTCCAGCAACATGAACCATATTTCTTAAGCTGATCACAGTGAATAATGAAGCAAGTAGATTTGAGCAAAACAAGAACAGTGAAGCAAATAGGATGAGTATAAAAAAATGAAGCAGGAAACCAAAGCAAGATTGAGGATGTCGGAAAAATCCCTAGTTTCTGAAAACGAGCCTCACTATTAAAAAGGGTTGTAAAAGGTGTTTATTTGACAATGAAGAACCATATCGTACGTGTTTCTAGAAAGTGCAACAGAAAACGTGACAGACTAATTCCACAGAGTGCAAAGCAGCGCGACCCATTAGAACCTCCCAAATAAGCAACTAAGCAATTGACGGACCCAAATTCTTTCCATTTCAACATTTTTCGAGCACTTTGATTCGCAGCTGAAAAGTGAGTTAACGTCCGACCATACCGGAAAACCTAGGCACCACTCACATAATGCTGAAACTATATGTTTTCAACAGCAATCGGGATGCACAGAATCACGCCGAATATTACATTTAAGGCATCCGAAAGGTATCCCGCCTTCAAGATCTAATGAAATGTGCATCGAAAGATTTACAATATGGAATGAAAGTGCTAGTATCTCCTAGGACAGTACTAACTCTGACATGCTCAGATGTCCCTGGAGACCAGATTAATAAACTGTACCAGCAATCAGGTGCCTCTTCCACATCGGGTATGATACAAGCCACTGTGCAGAAACGCCACGTACTTCTCACGAGGAAAAAAGCGAATAGTATGAGTTGAGTGCTCATACATACATCGCTGTAGTTGAGAAAACTTGGTAAACCTTTTAGTAAATGTAATACGGCCGATATTCCGACTCGTATTGATAACCATTTATCTCTCATCCATCATCGGCACAATATGGATAGTTTTAGCATCATTTAAGCTAGTGTTAAGTAAATTAAATAACATAAAACGACTTTCCTACCGGTTCCACGACACATTCTCTTTCTTCGTTATCTCGACCAGCACAGCTACACTTGTGAATTGGATATTTCGCAAAGACGTGGGTACTTTCGCGTTCGCAGAACCTACGTCTTGTTTCTCTACCTCTCTATAATTTTAGGGATATTCAAGTTGTATCGTACATTTTGATAAGTTTAGGATCTTTGAAAGCACCCGACACCGTAGGCAGCCACACCATTCACTCCACTCTGTCCATTCACATGACTGCTTTTGTTCACATTCACACGATCGTATTTCAACGGAAGGGCCATCACAGCACTGTCGGCCTAAAATAGCTCAAGTCGCTTTATCATTACCATGTTAACTTTGAACAAAAACGCTGAAAAGTTCCTTCCACTGCACCAAAAGTTGTACAGAAGTCCAAACACTTAACCCTAGACAAAAACCATTCAAAAGCACTTGAAGATACCTCTCTCTGGAAATGTGGCACTTCGACTTCCTATTCGGACACTATTCACTGGTATGATTGGTTCCAAAAGATTTCCAACTCCTAAATATTTATTCGCTGATAAGAAGAAACCATGACGTATCGAATATTCCATTCCATATTCAAACAGTTTACCAGCAATTTTCGTAAAAACTTGCGTTCCATCTTTTTTGGATTTCCTTTTTCTTTGGAAAATTCCTTTTAAATCTTTATAGTCTCGCGAATGATGACACCGCTTTCTGAAGAGCTACGACCAAGGCAGAGAGCATCCTGAGGGGGTCCAACGAAGACAGAAAAGCATTGAACCGTTCATAAGTAAGGCGAAGACCGAGCGTATAAGGAACCAATGGTGCGAAGATGAAAAAATCGAAGTGGAGAGGTGTTTGATTACAGGGAACACCTCTTATGTGTGTCTTCAATTTTTGAAAGGTGATTGAACAAAAGAAATAGAACATAATAGGCCAGAACAGAAGCCACTGACCACTTAACAGATCCGAATTTTCGTGCACGCCTTTTGACTCAATGGTCATAGTGCTCAGTAATGCAGCAGGGAGGTGGGCAGAAACTTTAATAAGGTTAAGAATTCTGCGCATAAACCACGGATCGCTTGAGACATGTCTTTTGAAATTTATTAAGCTGTCTCAACGTCTAGGTGGAATGCGGAGCTGATATTTGAAACCTATCACAACTTTGAGATCCAAGGAAATACACGTCAATGGCAAAGGACAGATGGGCCGGTAACATAATATAAAGAACAGATGACGGTGTGAGAAAAGAACAATGGAGAACACTCCAGAAGAACGCAAGTGTCTTTTCGCAAGACCACTCATACAATAAGAAGACGTGTTTGTGGTTTATGTTATCTACCAACATTCGCAACTGGGAAGAGTTTCAAGATCATAGAATAGGCTTCTCAGACGTCACTATGTTCGAAGCAGACCACCAGTGGGGATGATCGAGAGCGAGAGAGAGAGGAAAGGATGGAAAATACGCTGGATCTTAGACCACTAATGGAGAAGTGCCATCTAAGTATCAAGTAAATGATCGTTTATTCGTATGTTCTTATGAACTGATCTTGTTGAGCTGATGCGAGGTTGGTATAACCTGCCGTTGTTGTTGCTCGATGGCCAACGTATCGTTGATTTCGCCTTTCCCAGAACCGTGGTGGTGCGAGTAGGACTCACTCCTCGAAATGGCCGAAACGTTAGCCATCGAGCAACAACAACAACAACAACAATGACAACAGCAGCAACAGCAACAACAACAACAACCACAGCAATAAGAGCAATAACAACAACGACAACAACGACGACAACAACGACTACAACAACAACAACAACAACAACAACAACAACAACAACAACAACAACAACAACGACAACTTGTACCAACCTCGTACCGACTCATCAAGAACACTTCACAAAGACACATAAATAAATGTATAGGCCAAAAGCCTTCAGTTAAGCGAATTCGAAATTCGTAAGAAGCGGTTGGGACTTACTGCCAAGATAGAAGCTCTCTGTCTATTTTCCAAAGCTTCGAAAGCTCTCTGCAAATATTGTTTCTCGAAACCAGTAAAAGGGACGGGCTCATTCCATTAGATTCGAAAAAAACCCGATTTAGGGTAGTGTTAGCTATACCGGACCTCGGACAGCCCTCGTCGTTTGCTCCTCAAAATGAAGCCATGACGAAGACGAGACGAAATCATTTTACATCGGCTAAACGTTTTATTACATCACGTATGTTCTACAGAATTAACCAGGACCCTTTAATGGCTGTCGCTTCAGACTACGGCGACAAGATTTATTACAGGAAAACGTCTGGATAATTTCAAGTCGAGAATGGAATGGAATAAACAAGGTGATAAAGCAGTTATCTGAGTTTGTAATATACTGATGATCAAGATATGCGAGTCCTCAACTCCATAGTCCCTTCGAATCCAGAAGTCCTTCTTTAAATGGTGATTGTAGGATATAGTAGCCAAAGAGAAGGGCTATAACGAAATAAAAATCGCATTTTTAAAAACTGAGTTTCATTCAACATCAGCAAGAGTAACTAGTATCTTATTGGATTGATAAGCTAACGTAGTGTTTTTGCAAAGATCTTTTCTGCCTCGAGGACTACGTCGCGCAATTGTTAGAAGTCGCAGTGATTCAAATGTCCGCAAAAATTGTTTCCTGTTTAAAGTTTTGTTTTCTGCCTTCTATAATTTTCATGGCAGGTTACTAAGCGAAATACAACCACAACGTTTCTGAGATATTTGCAAAACTCTGGACCGCAGGTGCCTATGGTGGGGAACGAACGCGCTACTGTCCTTTCCGAGGAGTAACGCGTTCACCACCACACCATGCGGGTCCTTCGTTTCGTCTGTGTCTCAGCTATTTCAACTACAGCCATAGCTTAACTGGGTTCTATGCCGATTTGCGCTTCTCAGATCAACCCCGTTGACGGGTGATTGTCGTGGCAAAAAGATCGATAGAAATAGCTGAGAGACAGGCGAAACGAAGGAGCCGCATGGTGTGGTGGTGAACGCGTTACTCCCCGGAAAGGACAATAGCGCGTTCGTTCCCCACCAGAGACACCTGCGGTCCAGAGTTTTGCAAATATCTCAGCAACGTTGTGATTGTTTCATGTGATATGGATTTTGGTGTTGCATCGCTTCGACTCCAGTGCAGTGGAGCATAGCACAAGTCAGAAAAAGAAACAGGAACCACTGCAGAAACAATTGCTGCGAACACCAGACTCAAATCATTCAAGAGCTAAAGAAAGCAAGTGTGCCTAAACGCTATCCATAAAAAACGTTAGAGCAAGTCAAAGATTTTGTATAAGCGATGTCACTACTGACAGGAAGTACCACATGGAAGCGGACCACCCACTCAATTCAGCATATTCCTTTCTTCGCAGAAAAAAAAGAAAAGTCGAAATTCGAAAATCAAAGTCGCAGCAGCAATGTAAATTGGAGTAAATAAAATCAAGTCCTTGGCTGGGTTTGGGAAGATGCCTTTATCAACAACATTGGTGAGGAATTAGCGCGGTTTATTCCATAGCTTTACGAGAGCACCGAAAAAGTCGAGGGTTTGCAAGCCATGAAGGGATGTTTGTCTATTCGATATAGCATGACAATGGATAATTTGTCGCCCCAGCGATTCTTCCCTCAATAATCTCGCTTAAGATTTGGTCAATGAAAACCTGCTCAGAACCCGCTCCGAAAAATATTGGGAATGAACGGGTAAAATTCAAGACTCCTACACAACGACACCCACGCAGAATCTTTTTTTTCATGAAAAGGAAATGCACTTACGGAATCGTACGATCTCTCAATCTTGTTGTTTGAAGTTTACATGCTATAAGTATAGTCACGCTTAACAAGAGTGATAGATGACAAATGCATAAGAAAAAGATTTCAAAATACCAGAGCTCACTGAAGTAAAAGTAGACGAAATAGCTCCGATCGACCGATTTTTATCGACTATTTGGTCTTCGGCAAAATTTAGACACAAGCGGTGATTAAAACTCTAACTGACAAAGTATAACAATCCGTATAATCCCTCTCTACGTAAGCTCGCTTATGAGATGTTATAAATTCCCAGCAAATTCTCATCATTCTACAACGACTCCATCGTCAACGTAGAGGGTGATCAAGAAGAGCAATACCGTCTTGTCAAAATTATTTAGCACCATTTTCGAAAACATGGTGCGAAGGAGAATAATGTGACAATAGTGTCAGTGTCAATGCCATAAAAAAGCTCTTGACGTTGATTTAACCCTGAGGGATGCACTATGCATTCGACTTCATTAAACATCTTTGTAGGCGATTGAATGCATTAAATGGTCTTCACAATGACTCGAGGCCGTCTGCCAATGTATCCAGTCAGTGCTGCTATCATTCCAGACAAGTGTGATAACAATATGCTGATTTCGGAGGGATGGAAAGCTTGGTGAGTTTGCGGCGCGTGGATAGATCCCATGTGTATTGTAGGGCGCCTCCAACTACTGCGCTACGTGCGTTCCTATCAATGGCTCAATGGCTTACAGTTACACAATCTTTGCATTACTTTCTGATTACACGAAGTATTAGCCAGTGAAGCCACAGCGTCTTATTCGACAGATCAAGTTTATAGCACCATGACGAGTCATCTCTTTCTTAACGCTGTCTTAAATGAGACGTTAACAGCGTACGTTTCAGCGTTTCTTCAATAATTTCCACTGTGGTGATGATGCTGCCAAACATCACCATATATCAACACATGCTGTCATTTTCACAGCGTTATTTTCTTATACCATCAACCATTAACTCTATTAAACGAATCTTGGCCGATTTCAACATCGTTTATATAGAAATAGATATTTGATTAAGAAAGAAAGAAAGGTTCAAGGGCCATTTCGAAAGAAGGTTCATAAGAAACTAATTTGTTCACATTCATCCATTCACTCTCAAATCCCACTTCTATTTTTTTTGACCAAAGAGGCAAAGAATATCAACGATTTACCCACTGCTCTTTGAGCGTCTATAACGTGAATGTTACCTGGATTTCGCATGGCGCCACTTCCAATCACCATTTGTGTGCCTCTGGAGTCCACCTAAATTCACTTTTAAACGAGATATTTTAGATAAATTTTATGAATGCAATAATAGCCACCTGCGATGAAGAGAACGGAAAAATGGAATTCGATTCAGCGACTTGACATACTCGACTTCGTCTGGATACTGTTTGCGAGCCACATCCAGTACATGATGACCACTCACTCCACGAATTCCATGAGCAACATGGACCTTTATGAAAAGCCATATATTGATAAATACATGAATATTTCTCATCCTCAAGACGCTGTGAACCACAATATAGCTTCCTACGCCCAAAATTTAAACTGCTATTCAGATCCGTTGCAGTGGTGAAAACATTTGGAACTTTTTGGAGGACTATAGAATAGATGACCAAAGTTAGTTCAGAAGGAAGAGAGATCAAGAAACAAGTAAATAAAAATTGGATATCACTAGCAAGGAGTTGATCAGCGTATACTCTCTACCGGCATCACACGATTTCCTTTCCACATCTGAACCAGTGCATGTGCCGCTATTATCCATAGCCGTTCGTACAGGAGCTCGTCTTGCAACATCCTGAAAAATTCTATGAAGAGGATCACAGTAGGGAAATTCAAAATTCATGTTCGTTTTTAATATTCTTAGTAGTTTTTTAGTATTTTTGAAAGTAGAGGAAGGGGTTACACAATGGATACAGTCCAACAAGTAACAAGGTGCTGCTCCGACTCCTTCAATGGTCTCCTGCAATACAAATGGCAACACCCTAGCTCGGCCATGTCCAAGAGTACAAGAGGAATCGACCCGACCAGCATTCTACAACATCCATGAGGAGCGAAATGCTCAAACAGAAGCTGAAACAACGTGCGAAATATCTGAACACCTTTTGGAGGAAGAATGCGAGGAAAAAGTCTCGAATGCAATAAGTACTGGGATCCGCACAGTGGGTGTGATAACGGGTCATGTAAAACGATATAAAAAAAATTTCTAACAAGAAGCCTAAGCTTTATATAATTTCTAAATCTATTTTATTAAAGGAATATTGAAATTTGAGAACAATGAAATTGAGAAAGCTCTACCTCGATTGTGTAACTACGATTGGCCGGATTTAAAACGTCAGACCGCGAACGAGCAATGAGAACTGACTTTGCTTTTTCTGGAAAGGTTTAGGAAAACGTAATAAATGACTAATTCAAGTGGTTTTGGTAGTAAATCTTTGTTAAAACAATTTCTATGGTGCGAGAATTTTTAAAACGAATGAAATCCGTAAAATTAGGTGCTCCTGCTTACCGGAATCCATCTCGAAAAAAGCCTCATCGAACTCATCCAGATTTGGTAAATTCAAAAGATCATCGGTAACACACCTACAAACCTGTTTGTATTATGCAAACGATAGCAATGCAGACTAGTAGAAGCACTTGATTTAATGAATTTGATCGTCATCAGTACCTAGAGGAGAAGCACTTAAAGAAACAATAAGCACCGCCGCTAAAGTTTGCTAGGGTGCAAGAATCAGAAAACAGCACGAAAAAATTATCCAGCAGTCGAAACTTCAAGTTCTTGGTTAACAACGTCCTCACAGAAGAAAGTAGAACAGGTACGACAACGCATAACCCTTTTTATAAAGTGAATCTTACCGTCTTCGACGCTCGCAGACGCCAATACCACATGTGACGGAGCAGCCACTCCAATCCATCCACTGGTCCCAATATGGACAACTTATCAGCTGACAGAAACGTATCTCTCGACTTGACCCTGGACAATCTCTCCCGCTTTCACATGTTCGCATCCTAGTATTGCATAAATATAAATCCTCTCATAAAAACAGTAAGGGCCTGAAGTTGTAGACAGAAGTTATTGTGAGCAATTTTGAGGAAACAACATGCCTAGCTTGATTTCCTTGACCACATGTAGTCGAGCATTCTGACCATTCTGTCCAATCTGACCAAATAGGACAGAAGCGTGTAGGACAGTAAGACTGATCCTGAGCAGGGCCTTCACATCCCGTATGAGGAGCTCCACCATACATGCAAATCCTTGAACATTTATTTTATTAATGATAACTATCTCAGCGATAGCTTAATTTAAACAGTGAAGAGAGGCCTTCCAATATGCTTGAAACTCTGGTGAGACCTGCTTCAGAGCAATCAGGCCTCCGATTCTTCCGAAATCAGGAAATTCGCGTCAGATTTATTAGCGAAACTCTCCAATGCAGAAAGGTTGATAACTGCCTATGGGAAAAACCTGAGAACACCTTTGCACCTTTTTTCAACAGCATCCAGGAATAAGACTAAAAAACACCTCAACCCACACGCTAATACGAACACTTTAGCGTTTCATGGATTTAAAGCTACGAATCGAATGAAGTAGCTTCTGAGATCCACACAATATGTGTTCGACACAAATAAATAAATGAGTAATCAAACAAATAAATAAATAAATAAATAAATAAAAAGCAAATAAGCTAAACAGATAGACAAATGGGCAAATAAATAATTTAGTAAATAAATAGTTAGACAAACAAAGAAATAAATAGTTTGGTTTAGTGACACAATAGCAACCTGCTCCTTATTCGATACGTGTCCTCATCGCATTTGTTTGCACAGACAGTCCATGACGTCCATTCCGTCCATTTCGGACAATCCTGAACGACGTGTGAATGCATAATTTGAATAACGTCATAACAGCAATACATAAAGGAAAACATTTTTCGAAAAAAATAAGGCAGGAAGAAAACAGTGATGAATTCCGGCAGTCTCTTTCACTTGGCATTGATGATTACAAATGTAGTAAAATATCTATCTTCATATGCAGTATATATCTGTATATATGTGTGCAAATACACATATATACATATATATATCTATATATATATATATATGTACGCTTATGCATGTATGTATATATATACGTAGAAATATAAAAATGTGGAAATCAATCCAGACCTGTTGATTGCACAAAAGTCGCTCATCAGATGCTCCTTCGCATTTCCCATTCTCACATTTTCTTGTGCGTGACTTAAATAAGTATCACATTAATAAGAAAGTATTATTTAAAAAAATCTCTGGTGGTATAGTGCCTCATACTGTCCGGAGGATAATCCTCGTTGTCGAAGTACGATATACAGAAGGTCTTTTGAATGTCATTTCTTTCCAGAAGCATCGCTAAGGCCACAAAAAGCTAGATTATATACGTATGGCTACGTTCTTGCCAAGCACAGCAGAAAAAAACCATTATTTTAAAAATATGATGGCTTCCAATTTTCCTGGTTTAAAGAATGGCGTTTAACAATTTACGAATAAGTTCTGGTAAGTGACGGGAAGAATACGGCACATATACGGGCCGAACTCGGCTTCTGGAACGACTCCCGATGTGAAATTAGGATCCATGACTCACTTCCTGTCGCATTGGAATCATACGAGAAAACTTTTTTAGACTGGACAATGAAACCAAAAAGCATATGTTGTCAAGAATCCTTAAGCAGAAACGTTCGTTTCCGTACCATACTCTGCACGGCATCCCGTAATTCTATTAGCCAAAGACGTTCGAGTTTCTTCCCAAACTTGAGACTTACGCAACAGTGCGACTTTTTTCCAAGCTCATAAATCCGAATAATCGTTAGATATTCGCCACAGTAATTGCACAAAAGCCTTCTTCAGCATATTAAGATAACTTTTAAAAATCTTTTTGATCTGAAGTCCAACATGGCTTTTCTTAGTGGTTGATTTTCTGATTTTTCTGCGCAAAATAACAAATGTGATACAAAAATCTCGCAGTTGGAATTCGTCATGTCACTTAAAAAATAAAATACAATTTGTAAAATTGCTACATATTCGAAACTGTGTATTAAACTATAGGCAGTGAATTAGCTCAAGCTACATCAAATGATTAGCAAGAAGTACAGATTTAAGTGACGCTCATTTTTATTAAACGTGCCTCAATGCATGTTCACTTAAAGATGGGCGTGGCGAACTTCCTTCGAAACTTCCAAGATATTATCAGCATTCACTAAAATATAAGCTCGTAGTGAGTGACCAGAATGGTGCCCCACCAAAAAGCAGTTTTCCATAGCTTTCCCGGTAAATCGCGCCTTACAGGGCTAACTGTCGGAGTCAAAGAAATAAGATCGCCTATTTGCACGTTTTTTCACCAAAAATGCCAAATACTGCTTTATGGGCCAGATATATTCACCCGCATGTTTTTTCAAATGCAAGAAAATATTCTCCACACTTTTTCTAGAGGAATCTGGGCACTATGATCGATACCAGGAGGGAAATTGGTGTAAAGAAACACCCAAAACTCTTCTTTGCCGATAGTTCAGGTATTATCAGTGAATCAACATTCTCCTAAATTAACTATTCTAGATACGTATTACTGATTATATAGAGGGCTTCTTCATTCTCAGTGCCAATCCTGTTTTGCATCTGAGCATTTTTCAATAGTTTAGCAAATTGTTTTCCTGACCCACATCCAATGATTCACCAACTCATTGCTCCCAGATGTCCATTTGCGAGGTATGAAGCTGTTCAGAAATAAATGACCGTTTTGAAATATTGTTTGTTTTAATGTATTTTTTACCAATAAAATATTCCTTGAGCCTTACAATGCTGTTATTACAAAGGTAATTTTATGCTTTTTCTAAACATGTTTTTATTTTTGTCAAAAGTGAAATTTCTCACCAATTTCGGGCATTACAATTTTAGATGTCAAGAACGAATTTTCGTCAGATTTTTTAAAATGAAAAAACAGCACCTCGTGTTTGCTAAACAAGGTTGTAAAGAATTTCTCTTTTCTGAGTTCCAACTTGGTTGTAGTGCAGTAGTGGCGGCTCGAAACATTAATGAAGTTTGTGGTGAAAGTAGTGTTGCTGAATCAAAAGTGCGGACATGGTTCCAAAAACTCCAATCTGGTGATTACAACTTCGAAGTTAAGGAAAGCGGTGGGCGTTCCAATGAACTTAACGACGACGAACTGAAGGCACTAGTAAAAGCAAACGCGCATACAACTGTTCGAGAGCTTGCAGAATAACTTAGCGTTAGCGCAGGAACAATTTTCACTCACTTCCACAAAAAAAACTCGACAAGTGGGTGGCGCACGAATTATGAGGTAGTCAAGAAAGAAATCTCCGTTTTGAAGTGTTGTCTGTTGTTATTCTGCGCAACTACGACCGGCATTAGTCAGCAGAAAAGAACCAATCCCTCTCCACTTCAACGCACGACCTAACGTTGCGGAACCAGGGCTGCAGAAGTTGAACGAGTTGGACTACGAAACTTTACCTCTTCCGCCATATTCGCCAGACCTCTCTCCTGCCGACCCTCAATTCTTCAGGCATCTTGACAACATCCTGTGCAAGAAATGCTTCACCAACTACGATGACGCAAAAAATGCCTTTAACGAATTCACCGCTTCCATAACTCCAGCATTTTATGCAACTGATATAAATAAATTTGCTTCTGGTTGGAAAATTTTTAAACATTTGACAAAAATTTGCGTAAATTCAAATGCTTCTCATTCTGTTCAATAAAGTTTTGCTTGAAGCAAGTTATCATATTTTAAAAAATGCTGTTAAAACGCTCATTAATTTCCGAACAACTTAATACAATTGCAAGCGCGTTCAATTAAGCTGAGGAGCCTAAATTTCTATCCGAAACCCCAGGTAAAAGCAGTCAGATGTAACAGGGGAGGCCTGTGAACTACTAACAACTAAATTCTCGCCAAAATCAATAAAGAAGGATTTGAAATTCTTCGTATACCACAAAAGAAAATGACCGTAATTGTTAACTCTGGCGAATGATGGGAACGAAGGGACAGCCTACTGGTGATTGACTGAGTTACCTGCTTGATGATAAACAGTGTGAATAGGGCAGATGGTTTTTTAAACTGTTACATAATGTGGGCAATTAAACTTTCGCCGCCGTGAGTAGCCTCAAGCAAAAAAAAATGTGTTGAAGCCGGGTGATGAAAAGGAAAGAAAAACGAACTTATTTGGGTAACAAGAACCATTTCTAGAGACTTTATTAACAGTCCCTGAAAATTCAAAATCTTCAAAACAGCTATAGAAGTAAGTGTAGAAGTGAAAAAATTTATTCATGTTTATCACGACTCCGAAATATCTCCTTTTTCCTGGCTCCATCATTAGGGCAGAAAACAAAAACACCTGAGTTTGAAACACTAGTAATCACCATCTCTCCTGTGTTGCAACTCTTTGAACACGTTGTCCATGTCGTCCATTCAGTCCATTGAGGACAACTTCCTTGAAAACACACCTTACTTTCTGCAGGAGGTCCAGGACATGCGTTACCTTTCTAAAAATAGCAACTAGGTGTTCTTGTAGTGCAGATTAATGGAAATGCTCACTCATAATATTGGTCGCGGTGGTGAAAAACGCCGTATTTTGCTCCTATGTAGCAAATTAGCAATGGATCTTTCCTATTGTGGGTATAGAATAATTCGTGAAAAAAAAGTTGCAGCGAATCAGTGACTTCTTTCACCCACCAGCCCCTCTACTCCTTAGGGAAAATTTTAAAAAGGGTTAATTTAATGATGGTGCTTTTACAAAATTTTTGTATGTCATTTGTAAATGCGTTACGGTAGAACGTATTGAACTGGCAAAGGAGGATGCTGACATTTTACATATCTCTTAGTTATCAAACTCTAATTACAGACCCGTGACAGAGGAATAGAGGGCAGCCCGAATGGTCCGAGGAAAGGTTTTGAAGTAACATCTTTCTGCGTGAATAGCTTCTCATTGAGCTGTGCAATAAACCCCGCATCTAACTGGTAAGTTGTAAGCAAAAGTATCTGTAAACACTAAGTATGCCATATTTGACGAAAACTTCGTAAGGTTTAGAGGAAGAAACTTCTTAATACCTGACATATTCTACTCCTTCTATCGTGGCCTTGCCCACAGGTCACACTACATCCCTCCCAAGGTCCCCAATTCGTCCAAGATGGACACGGAAATGATGAACATGTCTCCACTGTCTGAAATTATGACTCAACAATGGATACCATGAATTTAATAGTTTCAGCCCCACTCCTCTTGTTTTCTCACTTATTCCATAGCACAAACAGATTTCGTTATTTCACTGGTTTGCCAAACTCTACAAACACAATAGAATTGCTTGGAAAGCAGCAAACAAACAAATGACCATTTTTTAATTTCTATAAAAACGTTCTGAAGCATATGGATTATCCTCCGTGTCCTCCAGAATAGACGCCAGCAAATGACTATACTCACAGGAAGCTTCTAATTCTAAGGCTTGACACAATATCGTAAAAGCGTAGGCTAACCTCGATTGTAGCATATCGGAAATTATTTTGAATTATAAAAAAGGATTAAGGATAAAGCTGTTGGCGTTGATCAATCTCTGAGTGACATATCATGCATTCTGATTCATTAAGCATCGTTTGGAGGTGACTGAATGCATATCTGGCCTTTACAAGGACTCCCTCTCGCCTCCCGATGTATCGAGTCAGTGTTGCTATCTTCCTAGACAAGTATGACACCAAGGAGGGGGGATCGTTCCCATGTGCATTGCATGGCGCGCCTAACCACTGGGCTACACGCGCCCCTATTCTAAAATATACGATTTTTGAGTGACCGTGAGAAACTTATACTATAAAATTTTCTAAAGTAAGGCAAGTGTGGCACAGTGGTCGGAGGCGCCCTGCAACACACACGTGGAATCGATTCCCGCGCATATGGCCCACCAAACCTTCCATCCTTCCGGGATCGACAAATTGGTACCAGACTTGCCTGGGAGGGCAGCAGCACTGGCTCGATACATCGGTAGGCCTCCGCGAGTCACTGTAAAGGCCAGATATGCATTCAATCACCTCCAACGGTACTTAAGGAAGTTGAATGCATGACGCATCCCTCAGGGATTGATCAACGCCGAGAGCTCTATCCTTTATCTTTTATTTCTGAAAGTTACATTTTCAATAACGACGCTGTAATTCCACGTTTCATGCATAATAGCTCCAAGTTTTCAAAAGAAAAAATCATTGAAACATAATACGTCACAAACTATGTCACTGTCATAACTTAATGGGTTTTTTTAAAACAAAGTTGCTAACAAAAATGGGTCCAAGCACTTCTTCGATTTAATTCGTTATTTTGCTAACGTCACCTTATGGATGATCTTGTTCGAGTATGCGTCCATATGAGGCTTGTTAATTCGTTCTCTTCTCTCTCTATAAAACTTTTGCTCACTGGTCTAGAGTGGGTCTTCCTGGAACTCTGAGATGGCCAAGCTTGAGTTCTAAAACAAGCAGTCGGTCGCTTCCTTTTTGACAGCGTTATGCTTGCTCCTTGGCGACTAGGAGGCTTTTGTGACAGTAGCGATTATTGCGTCCACTACTATTCGTAAGAATGCTCGACCGCCCCAGTGCAATGTAACGTGCAAAATAAGTAATAATGATTTCTGAGTCTTAACTAATTAGTGAACTATATAGATGGGAACACCATACTGCCATCAAGATTACACATGTAAATTTCTCAACTAATCTTTAATGTGTGCTATTAGCAAACGCATATTTTCGTGGTAAGGAGTATGATGGATGCTACTGCCGAACCGCGAAGTGACGAACGTTCGCGGAAAACATCAGCTGTGGCTAAGAATAAATCACTCGGTCGACCTAGCTAGCAAAGTGCTGTAAGAGACCCATTCTTAATTTAGGCTGACTGACTAAGAGGCATTCGAGTTCTCAACATCAGATACAGTGCTAGAAGAAAACGAAACTGTTTTTATGGTCAGTTATGATAACATCAACTAAATTTCCTACACAATCGTTGTTGTTCTGTAGAGCGTCGTACCACTCGATGTACCAAGAAAATCGAACTATTTTCTGTCTTCCATGTTCTGACGACTGTCCACCGTGTATAGTACTTTTACTTCAAAAGCACTTCTTGGAGTCACAAAATGCATGCTCACCTACTGACGGTGAACTTAAAAATCCGTCATTTCTTTAAAAGTTTCCAAGTATCATTTAGCTGCACGGCGCGGAGATAATACAGTGGTTAGTGATGGCGCCGATCAGGAAGCAAAGACGCCAGTTCGATCCTCTCCCCAATGCTCTCCTCCAATTAACGTGAGAACGCTTAGTCGGACTACCTCCTATCCTAGATTGCAAGAACAATTGATTCGACCAACATGACGAAAAATGTCCGAAAACTCTTGTGAACGATGAATGCTAGGAAGGTGCATTTAATGAAGGAAGTGCTGGGTTCGGCACAGTAGTTGTGATGACAAGTCATGTAAAGAGTGGAAAAAAATGAAAATTAGCCAAACAGATAGAACAAAAATAAATCACCATGCTAACGCCAGGACAGTCACGTCCACCTATGCACTCTCTAGTTCTCCTTCGTTCACCTTCTCCACAAGTGACCGAACACATGCTCCAAGCCGTCCATCTTGTCCATTCCTGACATACAGCAACAAGAACGCACGGCTTTACTGATGAACCAGGACAACCAACTCCTGGAATAATGCTGTGGATCAGCGCCTTCATTTAAACGTGCGCAAATTCTTAAATAGCTCATGGATTTTCTGCCATATGAGACTCATCAGGTTCCAACCTAAGCAGTATCTCTTTGTTACACCAGGGCCGCAGGTTTGTGAACACGTGCTCCATTCACTCCATGCTGAGTGAGTAACTTGCGAATAAGACGGGGGACAAGCAATGGGGTACTGAAAATTGCTTCACATAAGTAAACTCTATCTGCCTAGATCCGGAATTTAAATTACGAAACTGACTGAAAGTTCTTACACACGGTGGTCTAGGGCCGCACGGATCACCTCGACGCGCCGGACAAGGTGATGAGTTATAAGAAGTCAACATGTGCACACATGATGTACCTGCTAAATATTGAATATTTTGCAGGACTTACACTGTATTGATGTTTCAAACCGTTTTAAAACCATACGAGTGATTTTTTTCTTCTAATTTAATTATCAATTTGAAAACGTATACGCATAGTAAAAGCGATTGAAAGCATATTTGGCCTATAAAATGACTTTCGGGGAGCTGCCGTTGTATTAACTTAGTGCTTATATTCATTCAAGCAAATCGGGTACCGATTCACCGACCCTCGAAATATGGAGGACCCAGTTTGCACAAAATGTGGCATCAAACCAACAACTTCGCCTATATTTCAGGTCCCTCTAATTCCTGTCCCACATGGACCTCGGTCCCTGGAAAAGGAAAAATTCAGTGGGTTCTAAATTCACCTTGTGTCCCTCAGAGTGCGAAGCATTGCTGCATTTCTAGAGATGTACAATTGGTGGCGCTATTGATACTGTCTCCTTGCTTTTCATTGTTCGAAGGGCTCATTACGTCTTCTATATTTCAGATAGGAAGCAGGGTAGCAAAAGACTACAATCAGAAATGAGAGACGTACACACGTACACTGAATTCGTCCATTCATCATCACTTCGCGAGATAAAATATTAAGCGGACCAACTGTTCGTTTTACAGTTTCATTACTATTTCAAATTAAGTTATCTTACGGTTAATCAAATATCGATTGTCGTTGATGGCCGAGTAAAAAGCTTCACTTACGGATACAATTGTTGTATGCGTGCTTCGCGGTTTTACCCATATATCGAACTTCCACTGGAACAATCGCTTGAACTGCTTAAAATACGTTCATATAAAAGAAATGACTTCAGAGGTAAAACTCGAAATATTTACGCAGAAATATTTTGGAGAAAATGGATATCGATGCGAAATTGTGAATACGAACGGGTATCACTTATGGCAAAGACATCGGTCGTTTAATCATGAGATTGCTGAAAAGCATCGAAAAAAAGATCCCAAAATTGTATATCAGCACCAGGTTGAGAGAAATTAGAAATACGAGTACGACGATATATTGATCTCATTCTAGGAGGATTTTCAATCGAGTTATCGGCATAATACTTCGCTAGTCCTCAGCTGGCAGATGAGAGTTTAAACGGGGATGAAAAGCGAGCCTTGTGCTTACCCTGAGATCTAGGGTGAATTGAAAAGATATAACACTCTTATCTTTCCAGCATCAGATTAACCTCTACCTTCCGCATACACGCTCCTAATTCATACCTGACGACGTGCAAGTAGATTATCTCCTGAAGTTGCATTTGGTCAAAAAATTTTTATCATCAGTGTCTTAAAAAATAAACCGTTTGCCTGATCCTACTAAGCTCGAAAAGCTAACCGTGTCGATAATATATCCTCATAGAAAAGCTTCCATGCTACCATCAGGCGAAACGCATTAAATGAGGTAACGTTTACGAAATGTGTGATGCTAGTTGTTTCGACTCATTGAAAAGAATTAAACAGTTTAGACACTACAAGGAATGAATTCAGGTTATTATATTCCCAGCTCTGCCCATGGTAAATGGGACTGTAGACGGATAGTACCGAACAATGATCTGTGCGCAAACGCACGCTGTTTGTGATCCTGGATTTTCCAGCGCATTTGATCATAACAGCCATGAAGATCAAGCACGACGTCATTTGGCTGAACGACACCAGAAAATTTAGTCAAAAAAAATCACAGCCGATATTGCACAGGTGTTCCTTTGACCACACAACAATAAAGGAGTTATTTGGTTAGTAAAGTCGGCATTCTCGTCAAAACATAAAAAGATATAAACAAAGTTCAGCTTGGACAATCTTCAACACCTACACGATCAATCAGGCCTGTACTCTCACCGAAGTACTTTGTTTTGCAAATCCCATTGTTATTCTGATTTTCTACACGAAATGAACTTGTTTGCTTCACAGAAGACTTTTGTTAAGGAAAGAGAAAGAAAGGTGTAATTCCCAAGAAGCAAGGTCGCAATAACCGTTATCGATTCTGATGTCTTTAGCTCATTTAACGGGAGTTGGAAGATTCTGTTAACAAGTTAAAGGAGAAATGCGAAGAGGTCATCGAGCACTTTTGTCCGAGCCACCCAGACGTGTCTGTCCAAGTGAAAACAAATGAATTGACATAACACCATGAATAAACGCGTTGAAAAAGGCAAAGTAAATCTGAGGTTATGAAGCCTTGCAGAAAAATGACGGAAAATCTTGTTGCGAGAATTGCTGTATTAACGGTAGCGGGGTTGTGGCGGCTAGGAAAACTGCCATAATATCTGGAGTTTTGCTTGTTACGAAAGATGATTGCGTTCTGATGTCTAAACGGAGTATGCACTGCTTCGAGAAAATCAGTGGGAACGTTGACCACTCCTCCTAAGCTCTAATTTGCTCGATAGTCACAACTATCACAACCATCCCTTCTAAGGATGGATATGCACATGTTTTTTCAACGCTTCACCTTTTTGGTCTTTGAGGTGAGCAAAAAACCAGCAGGATTACGATGCGGCACAAAAAAATTCCTCGCGCTGCCTGCCGGAACTTAAAGTTCCTTATAATTAAACCACTAGCAAGATCTTACTAGTGTAGAAAAAACAGGATCCAGCTGACGTCGGAAACTATCCTTTTATCTCTCTGATACCTCTGTCATCTATCAGTTTTCCACCCTAGTTATCTTCAAGAAAAGTTCAACGTTAAATATGGCAGTTTATACCCACATTAAACAACCAGGTTAATTACTTGCCTAAATATCACCTCAATGCAAATGCAGATGAGAGTCGAGAATACGAGAATAAGTCGGGACAACAGCTCTCCCTTCCGTGGTCTGATATGTTCTCTCATCGGTGAAGAATGGAGCAACATTTGTTCTCGGAAATACCGAGTTTAAATGTTTGACAAACCATCAGCTCATTGAATGAGAGCGTTCATACGAGATACAATCGAGCCACGGATTCTATACAATCGGTCAAATGAACCTTTGTAAACATAATGGTACTTTGTTTTTATTGATTCGTCATCGATCGAAATTCATACATTTAAATAAAGAATGACGAGGAAAATTTGGTTACCGAGTACAAAAAAGGCTTAAGCGGTATCAATAACTATCGATTCAGTTACCTTCTGTCCATAAGCCACAAACTTTTACTCATGTAATCCTCAGCAGAATTGAGTATTTTGCGAGAAATGACTGTAAAATCAAGCATGTTCTTGAAAAGAATTTAGCAGTAATCAAATTGACATAGTAATGAAATTCGATGAAGTACGATGGAAATCATAAACGCTACTTTGTCTCAAGTTCACTGACGTTTAGAATGCTTTCGATTCAGTCGAGAAGTTCAGTCGAGAAGAAGGCCGTCAAGAAAACCATGGCAGTCAAAGTACCCCTAATCAATAGAAGATTTTTTTCACGACACGAACTGTAAAGTTGGGCCGAATTGAATTTTGCGTAGCAAGTTCGCTATCACAATATCTTCTTTGAATTTAGTCATCATTCCTTATGTGAACGCAGTACTTCGACAAGCGCATGGCCCCATTCATCTGGACTCTTCAATAATACGTTTGAGAATATGTTGTGATAATTACTATGACCAAAAATTTTAAATTCGACATTCGTCAGAAATATCAATGCTGCTTACCAGATGACACATCAAGGGTTGAACAACCAGACGAAGATGACGTTTCCAAGTTATTTATTTCCAATTCGCGCTCAGCAGAACGATTATCTAAGAATGCTTCATATTGGCGGTCTTTGGTTGCGAGGACTGTGGAGATCGTAGGAATGTCGAAGAAATAATGAGAACGACGAAGAACACTTAATCTCTTTTAAGTACCCTGTTGACCATCCTTCTTGTCTTAACACACACGTTAAAAATCTGAAAGCTATTAAAGCATGATAACACTGCAGTCAGCGTTGCTGAACGTAGTAATGACGACATCGTGTAAGCTAGTGAGCGAATCCGAAATTCCGAGTTGTTATCGGGAACGTTGCCTCATGTGCGAAAATCACGTACGCCTCGAAATATTGAAAAGATGAATAACAACTACTAGGCAAAAAAGGGGTCAGCAAGCTGGTTCTAGGACCTATCAGGTATATAACTGGGAAGCTGCATATACATAGACAGTCTTCTTTATTATGATTCAGAGCAGAAATTGCTAAAATCTTTCTTTTGACTTGAAAACAGAGGAGTCGTGGTACACAGGATGGACGAATGGAATCACTACTCAAACAACTGTGTGGTAAGCGAGATAATTATTTTGGCACGAATGATTTCCAACCATCTAAAACATCTATCGAACAATTCGTGCATTTCTTAAAGCTTACATTTAGCTTAAATAAAACTTGTACCGCATCATACTGGCTCTTATATTTAAGCAGTGCTAAACGCTCACACGAAAAGTCGTTTGTATGACTGAAAGAAATAGTGTTGAGAAAAAAGGGAGAAGAGCAAGCTCCAACGAACTATTGATAGATAACTGGTATGATATTAAAACAAAAAAGAAACGACTGAAACCCAGAAATTGCATTAGAGTGTTTCATACTTCATTTTCTTACTGGAAAAGAAACGTACGATCAAATGGAGACTTGGGCCTATGAATCTCATTCAACTCCGGCCGCCTTTGGACACTTTCTTCTCGGTAAAGAGGCGTCATTTTCTAGAATCAATTTCAAATTCTCCACAGCTTTCTGCTTAAATATTCGCTTTGTTTCTATTTCATGAAGAGCTAAAGTCTTAATAAGAAAAGAGCAGCGAGGTAGAAGTAATCAATACTAGAGAAAAACATACGGTTGCGTGATTCGCTCGCTTTTAGTTTCCGAGTAGGAAAGGCAATGTCATGGAAGCTCCCAATAACTAGTGAAAATTCTGCCTAACACCAATAATATTTAATTAAGGCTCAAGATTTAGTTAAATTTACTTACTGCATATCGATCTGCAATTAAGCGGACTGATGTTTCATCATCAAATCGATCCCTGTCTGGAAAAGAAGCATCTGATCGCACATCTTGCTCTGGCACTGTAACACAGACAAATCCGTACAACAATATACTGTATCAGGGTAGCGCGCCAAGTTCAAGTATATTTTTCAAACACGCTGCTCCAACAACTAGTTTTTTATTGGGCTTTGTACAAGTTTATTCCTGAGTTTAAACTTTTGACAACGCTTTATTAGCATGATTGACATACCGTAAAATACTACTGAGCTAAAGTTGTCACCTTTTTTTATTAATAATGTTTCTAACTTTGGGAACCCTTATGCTAGCTAAAACATGCATTAGTCTTTGCCATTTAGGATCAATTGGCCTGAGAAACACAAGAGGTATCACTACCCATGAACTGCTTGTTGTGTTTCATCATGATGGGTGGACATTTTACTCATCGGTAAATTATTGGGCAATCTCGGAGTGTTTGTAGATATGCGGACCCACCTTTTCCCATGTACGTTGCTGTCACTTAACTCGTGACTTCGTAAGTCTCGATGAATAAAGCTGTAAACACAATCTGCATTCATGAAAGCAGACCGTGTAATGCGCATAATTTGTATCCTTGTTAAGTCATCGACTAACCAGGACCAGTAAACAAGCGAAGAACATCACACTTTTGGTGCGACATTTGGTGGGACGCCACTTTTTTCCTGTTTTTGGCGGTGAATTTAATGGGAATTCGATGTTCATTATCACGGCCAAGCTCATACCTAGCTGAGCTTTCCGATGGATATGTCGAATTCATTCTCAGCTTGTGTAGTCCAGCTGAGGAATTGATCTCATCTATAGATCACAGCTCAACATATAGGAAAACTTTGAATTACAAAATTTGGTATATGATTAGGAGCTCATAGGCACGAATAAATATTACTTAACAATTTCTATCCTCATATGATGTGCGTGTGCCAGCATTTCTTTAATGTCTTTCGGCGTCTTGTAACTATAATCCATACATGTAGGCAGAATTATATTTTGTTAAGCTTCATTTGAAAATTCACCACGCCCTGTGATATTCTGAATACATGTCGAACCATATAGGGGTACTAAAGCGTCTTCAGGTTTTCACCACAGGCTTTCGCCGACGCTTATGAATTGACAAGTGGCGTACTGCCTTGCAATTGGTTTTCGAGGACGTAGCGATTCCTAGGCGGGTATGCTCCAATCTGTTTCAGTAGGATTTACAGCCCATTCGACGTCTGATTCTTTGGTAATGTGCTATGTATGATTGCACAACACCGACCTTCTCAGCATTGAACCTCCTTTTTCCATCTGAACATGCGCCACACTTCCCCACGACTAACCGAATCGAAATCCATCACACGAGGGAGATTTTTAGGCATTTTTAAATATAATCTGTGTCTTTTTATCTTTTATAGCTTATATTTTGTTCCACTTACCGGAGATTACTACCTCTATTGCTACGAGAACACTGGTTATTTGATATGATAGCAAACAGGCTTTCCCTTCACTAAATACAGCAAACTTAGTAGCAGTGCATAAATGATGTTTCGCCTTTATGAAACGGACGAACTCTTGGGCATTTTTAACCTCTTTCCAGCTTTGGCGTGCCATATTATCGAACTTATCAACTTCATAATTGCGCAGATTTTTTCCATATCGAGAAGAAATTACCGGAAATTCTGCTCTCTATATAATGCTGAGATATTTGCAAAACTCTGGACCGCAAGTGTATGCGGTGGGGACGAGCACGCGTTGTTGTCCTTACCGGGGAGCAGCACACTTCATCACCACACCATCCGGGTCCTTCGTTTTGCCTGTCTCTCAGCTAGTTCTATCGATCTTTTTGCCATTAGCAATCACCCGTCAACGGGATTGATCTGGGGAGCCGAAATCGGCATTGAACCCAGTTAAGCTGAGGCTTAGTTATAATCACAATTTTAACCCTTTTATTTACTGCCTTTTTCTTTTTAATGGCAGGGTATGTCTTAATGGTAAGGCATATTTCGCAACATACCCTGCCATTAAAAAGAAAAAGGCAGTAAATAAAAGGGTTAAGATTCTGCTCTCTGTTTTTTATGCCTTCTCAGCCACAGACCTCTTTGTTTCCTTGTAATGTAACCATTTCACCCACATTTTGCATGGCTTCATGGGACACGTAGAGCAGAGAACACGTTTGGCTTTTAGTGCACTAGATTTTGCTTAAAAATTATCTATCAAAAGTGCTGCGCATAGTGAAAAAAATTTAAACGTAGCCAGTCTTGCGTTTCTGGAATGTACCACAGATCGATAAATTCAGTTCCCTCTGACAGTAAAGTAAAGTAATAAAGGGAAGTATAAAACCCTGTTTGGCTTAACTTTCACAAAAGTGGCAGAAATGAGTAAAAGTATTAGCTTCGTTGACGATGCGGTTTTTCTGGTATGATAACAGACCCGCTTGTTACTGCTTGTTTAATTTTACACTAGGCGTCCTTCATGGGACGATATTTTTCTGAATTATATACAGCAGTATTGAGATGTTTCGTACACTTTATCCGACCCACTGGTTGCACTCGACAAGACGACAATGTCGAAATAAAACTGAATATGGGAGAAGAAAGATGTGTAGGTACAGCCCTCTTCTCTCACCACATGGGAGCGCACATTTTCCAAAGTGGCGGCTGTGTAACGAGTTCCAATCAGAAAATACAGTATTAGCATGCACCACTGCAATCTGAAGTGCCCCACCATGGCATACTTGTATAGGTGAGCTAGAAGTTCCTTTCTTCGCTGTCGTACTAGACTCGGTGAAGTATTCAAACTTTCTTAGTTGCAATAGCATCAGAAATTGATAGCGTTTAATAGCGGCTATATTACTTTCAATGAAATAGCTTTAGCAGGCAAACGCAATGTTTAACGCTCTTAGAGATAATTTTCACGTCCTTTTCGAGTTCTTGCAATAATTTTAAAGTCCCCCACGTAACATCACGGCTCTGAGAAAGGCGAAGTCGCCGAAACGTCAGCCATCGATCAATAACATCAAAAACAACGACAACGACAACGATGATCTCTACCAACCTCGCGTCAGCTTAGGAAGATCAGTTTATAAAATCACATAAATAAATATATCAACTATCTATGCCGAGGTTTATAGAAAGTCGGTCTTTCGAATAATTTTAAAGTTTTGAACACTTTGTTCGCTCTATCATTGATTTAAATCACATGAGTACAGATCGATTTATTGTACTTTATGATGATCAGCTACGAATTCTGCGCATTACTGACACAATTCTAATCACTGGTTAACCATTAGCACTGGTTGGATTGGTTACCAGTCATTCATATGAAACTTGGCTACACGTAATACTCCATTGTCTCATTGTTCATTTTGAAGTCGTGTTACTCTAAAAGCCACTGTAAAAAAACTAAAACACTATTGTGACGAAATAGGAAAGGCAAAGATTATTGTTTAGGATTATTCCAATGTACAATAAATGGATGGCAAGAAATGCCAGCCACGAAAAGTCTGGATTGGGTGACGAATCAGAATAGGAACATTTTGCGGTCTCTAGCAACATCCTGCATTCTATATAAAATTGTTGCTATTTCAAAACCTTTTACCACAGTTTTATTTTTCATTTTTCTTTATTTTCTGCCGGTTGAACTACTATTTATTTTTGTTCGTGGGTTCCAATTAGGAAAAAGTGAGAAAAAAAGCTTAGATATATTTTAATGACCTCTCCACTAATACTCCCTCCTTTGCAACATCTTCAAAGCAGAGTTTGCAATGATATACTAGTAAATAAGAAATCATAATAATAACAGTTGTAATTTGTTAAATGTAAGACTGTAGAACACGGAGTTGGTTATAAAAAGACATGGTAGGCAGAAGAAAAAAAAACATCACTTGTAGCATCTGTTGCCAAGCCGAACGTCGGGCGACTCGAGTAGGCGCCAGTAAATCTTCCATTTCTCCCTGCCGCGTGTAAGAGGGACGCAGTGGGTTCTGCTCGGCTTATGAACTCATTGAGGATCGTATTTTCTTCTAGAGTTTTCGTGAACAGCTCTGGCTGTCTGCAGTACGTTTGACTTTCCGTGGAATCCTTGTCACTAACGACTCTTGTCGATCGGTTGTCGTTCATGCGCATTACAGTGTCCGGCCCATATTGACTTGAACCTTTTGGCGTGTAAAATGACGTCCCTAATTCTTAATAGTTAACGTAGAACACAGATTTGTATCCCTTCCGTCACTTGCGTGACATGGGATACTCGTCGCGTCCTCCTTTCAGCCACGCGTTCAACAACGCTGAGTCAACTTTCATCTTGCCTATGTTGCGACCAGGTTTCTGACGAATACCTTAAGCCTGAAAAAGTGGTGAAGTGGAAAAGGTGATTAGGGAGTCGCATTTTATTTATTTTCTTCACTGCATCCTCGAAGCTCCTGGAAGCTCCTCATTCCGCTCGCTTCCACCTGCTCAATTCTTGGGTTAAGTTTCAGAGTTTTGGTTTCTGGACCTAGACAGACGAATTTGGAACATTTGGAGAAATTCGTTCAGTTGAGAATGAATAGGCTATTCGAAACCAACTCCTTTTTCATGCACATCGTTTTTGTCGGATGCGGTAAAAGACCAATCCTTCGACAGGCGTTATCAAAGTCGATTAGTATTCGCTTCGTCTAACTAATGTTTGGTTTTATAAGAACGATGTCGTTAGCAAAGCGAAGATGGTGCAGATACCGACCATCGATTGTCGCTTCCATATTTTTTCATTCCATTGTTCCCATGACCTTCCAGAAGGTGGCGATAAATAATTTTGGCGAGATGGTATCGCCTTGCTTAACCTGTCTTTTTACGACAGTGCTGATATCGCCGTAGAAAAAATATGGGTTCAAAAAGAGACCGAAATATTAAATTTAACGTATTTTTCAGTTTCCTACGCGTGCATAGGAAACAAAGACAAAGTAAGGCAGCTCCTAGCATTTTCATTAGGAAGGAGGGTTGTTTGTCAATCTGTATAAGACTACTCTCAATGCTTGTCTTGGATTTTGAAATGCGACACAACGCAAGTGGTTCCATGGCATGTTCACACAGACTGAAAGCATTATGAAATTTCGATCGGGAGCCCTATCTAAAATTTGGAAAGTTCTGACAGCAACCAGCCTTTTAACAGGTAGTATATCTCTCTCTTATCTGCACGTGCTGGAGAGTAACTGTGGTGAGGACCTATGAAGGCCATAGAAACGCTATCTTAGGTTCTTAGGAAGACAAAGTGCCCAAACAGCAAAGTATCGATAAAATTGGGATGTTGTTGCTGTGCCCATTATTTTTAAGGAAAAGTTATACAGGTAATCTGATAGATAAGCCTTTTATGTAGACAAACGATACCAAATGCAGCAGAACTGTAATAGCAATTCTATATTAAAGAATCTGTAAATGCTATCCATGTAAATGTAAAGTTGCACGTGAAAGAAATCATGAAAAGATGCTTGACATAATACCCTAAAATATAAAAGTGACTAATCGTTAACGGTAAACATATCTCATTCGTCGATGCCACTTAAATTTTCATTTGCGCAAGGAAGAACGTTCTAGAAAGAGGAGGAAAATGTCAAGCATGAGTTCTTTTTTCCCCTCCGGTAAACAAACGGACTTTCTCTTAACTCGTTTTAAAGTGGTTTTCGCGTAAATTCTTTCGTGGTGTTTTCCATCGTCTTATTATGGGTGGTGGGTATTACAGTTATATTGTACATAGCATCGTTTGCTTACTTGTAATACTTACCAGATTACCTAAACTGCCTGGCTTCAGTAATAATGAAGACCTCAACGCTGACCGCAATCTTAAAACCGCTTTTTCCTGCCGTTTTACTACCCTAGCGGAGTTCGTTTTTAAAAACTCCATTGCAATCTTTTCAAGCTGTTGATTCCCAGAAGGCATAAATAATTCATATTCAGATGAGAGATTTATCCTTAATATTGTGAAAAAATTTTTGTCTTAATTTACATACCTTCCATATTCCCTTTACTGGCTTCTAACCTTCTTCGATGAATCGTAGAAATTTTGTGAATAAGTTCGGATATAGAAAATTCCGAACACACTTCCAGAAATTCGTGAACAGTCGACACCTGCAATGTGATGCCTTATTCTGCATCGCTACAGAAAACAGAATAATTGATCTCCTAAGCAGATATTTATAAAAATTCCCATGTTATACTAGATAAAATCATGTTGGTGTAATTCAAAAATGGATGAGATCGTGAAGATAGGACGAACTGCACGTTCTCATTTCGTGCACAATTCGAGTATTCTTCTAGGCGAAATATACGTATACGTGCGTTGGTGCGGCTCAGTTGCTTCTCTTCCACCTGCAATTTTTCGCAACTCAATTGGCTATGTCACATACCGGTTCTATAGCGGAATCTGGATGAAGTGCTGCTGGATGTTCAAGACTGCTCTCCGAAAACAATGTGCAGACTCCCATAGACTGGAAAAATTCAATATATGGTAAAAGTGGCTTGAAAAATATCGTAATGGATGTTTACTTATACCTTATCACTATATGGAGTAAAAACGGCAGTTTTACAAAAGGATAAATTCTCTGCGCATCGATCTATACAATTTCTATCTGCAGGCATGTGTACTCGTTGTAGTACAGCTGTGGAGGTGAAGACGTAATGTTTTCGTGAACATACACGTAATCCGCGAACTGAAATTGGTACATCTGTGACAATGGTTCCTGCTTCCAGTTGGAATTGGAATGTCATAGCTGAAGTCAGATCTCGTCTCTCGCCAGTTTTAAGTTCCAGACAGATTTCGATTTCAACACAGTGGAATGAATTTCTGTAATTTATTATGTGTATTGCACTCGTGCGAGTCAATTAAGAGCCGATAGCTACGAAACTTCTAAGAGTGTCCACAGCTTTCAAAACCCCTAACCAACATGGTCTCTTAACAATGTTTCGGCTGGTTCGAAAAATGGTATAAAACTGATACACATGCATAATCATAGGTGATTTAATAGTGGTACTGTAATAAAGTACAAACTTGCAAAAACTGGAGAAAAAAGTATAATTACACAATATCTTCGACAAAGACTTGCGAAGAACACTGAAAATCATATGCACACTTAGAATAGGATCTTTTAAAGGTAAGTTAAACCAAATAATTTCAAGTTTATGCATTTTCCTTTATATTCCCATCGCCTTAACAGATATAAGTTCCACATTCTAATCAAAATTAGCTAATTTTACTCCATAAAATAAATAATATTGGAACTATAGGCAGCTAATCCACGTCCTAATACATTTGCCAGCAAAAGACGTCTATCAGCTGACTATGACATTCACATGTAGCATCTCTCATATATTGTGATAGGCCTTAGGCCTAGCATAAATTCCTGAATGAATATGCATACGACTACGACGCAACTCCGATTGCGAAATTTCGCGCCTCATTGCGTACTTTCGCGTCCCGTCATTTTAAAAGCCGGCGGTAGAGCAATTTCCATTGAGTATCTGAGGTTTAAATAGGGTAAATAGCGATTCGCTTCGTGAGAAGGAAAAAAAATTTACACTAGTTACATATATCCGTGTCCTATATTAGCAGTATTTTCAAAACCCTCACAAGATAACGCTGCGTAGGTAACGCATTGGCCGGAGGTGCACTATAATGCACAACGGATCGGTCACTCGTTCGACTGCACCTCCTGGCTCATCAAGACCTTCATCCTTCCTGGATGGATAATTGGCAGCCGAGTGGTTTGAGTCGATGAAAACATAGGGTCAGATATATATTCGATCAGTTCTGTGATGCTACGGATGAAGTTGAATGCATAGGGCATGCCTCAGGAATTGCCCAACGCCGAACGCTTTATCCATTAACTTTTTGGCAATTAGAGGACATGGAAAAACAAAAGCTTACGGGACTGGCTAATACGGACATAACTTTGTGCACACCAATTTGGTACCAGTATTGTAGCAGATTTAGTATGTGTGCTAAGTAATATTTGAACGTTTATTTACTTGATGCTTTGCGTTGTCAGTCACATGGGGAACAAAAGAAACATGGAAGTCAAACGTTGCTACGTAAAAAGAAGCATGAGAACGAACTCTAAATGGTGGAAAAGTGAGCTAATGATATGTATTTTTATGTATTTTCTGGGCATGTTCACAGTTCCCGCAAATGTTCTGCCATGGCGGCCAATGACGTTTCCTAGTGTCAGACTACAAACCGCAGCGGCGATTCACCCCTCCCAGTAGGATCAACCAAGCAGAGAAGAGAATTAGTGTTTTCATCGAAACGCCGAGCTCTGCCGTAGGACACCCCAATCGGCCGCGAATGGCTAGCTCGTTCATCGAGCGCTGAAGGTCTGACACACCTTAAAAAAGAATTAAGCTCCTGCTAGGTCAAATTACTCTGTGAGCGAATACAAGTGCTACAGGCAGTTTTTAGCGCATATGAAGTCACAGTAACTAGTTTTCGTGCAAAAACAGTTAATTCGCAAACAAAAAACCATTGGTGTTCAAATTGTACACTTAAAAGAAAGACAAATCAACTCGATTAAATTAAAGAATCTTACCAGAAAGCATGATATCCACAGTTCCCATTCAGTACTACCGGGTAAAAAGAACTATAAATGATAGCTATACAAGTGAAAAGATGGACTAATGGTTACCATAGAGGCTCCGCCGATGGAAAGATTAACAGAACTTCGCTCCGAAATTGAAAGCAAAATCAGCATTTTCGAACTAAAAAGTTCAATTCTTATCGATTCCATTCATTCAGTTTTGAAATTTTGTACCATTTGTTTCATTTATTGGTAAGAATCTGAATATCTGGTTACTATACCTGCACATTCCGGAACTCCACTCATGTGCACCTTTTTCAAAAATTGCTCTAGTTTTTTAGTTCTTTTCATGTACGGGAGACGTTTTAAGGCCTCGACTTGCTTTGAATTGAGAGTGAATCATCTCACAACGGAGTCGCCAAAGTTGAGAATTAGTTTCAAATTTCCTCTCGAGAACTCAATATGGGAAGACCTGTACTAGCAAATGCCGCTTTCTTGGAAAAAAAAAACGTAGTTCTAGATTGGCAAATCCACTACTACCCACAAAGTTCAATTATCGCCATTGGTGACGAGCTGAGAACGTTCTGCTACAGCATCTTTCCAAGGGGTTCTATGTGGAAAACAAAAGAAGTAAATTAAGCCGGCCCGATTCAGAGAGAAATAATGACTTATAAAGTAGGTGCCATCAACTCATTATCGAATCTGTCATGAGAAAAAAAAGGTAAAGAATAGAGCCTTTAGCGTTCATCAATGTCTGAGAAATGCGCAACGCAGTTATTCACATTCTGAGCATCATAGAGGCGACTGCATACATATTTGGCTCATACAATAACTTTCTTCGGGCTAACAATGTATTAAATCTGTGTCTTTATCTTACCAGACGAGTGTGGTATAATGCCATCGTGAGTCCGGGGAAGGGGATCGAACCAGAGGCTTCATTTGTTATTGCACGCAACTTCAAACTACTGCATTATCCCCATCCTGTCATAAGATACATTTCAGAATTTATCGCTATATAAAACTTAAATATGAAATTTTAATCAGCACGAAAATAAAATCAATGAAAAATAACATTATGAGTCATGAAAGTTGGAATTTTTCGCTGATTTACTGCCAAATTGTTGGAGTAAAACATCAGACCATCCAAACGTTTTAGATAAGCTCAAAACATCAAAGGTTGTCATTTTGGTAGTTTACATGATTAGTCCTTATAAAACAAATCCATTTTTGTGAAAAATGGTAGTGAATACGTAGTGACTAGAAGCCAACAAATCACTTGAATGTTTTTCTGAATTGTTCCCCACTTCGAATTTGACGGTTTCTTCCGACAGGCATAGCAGCTTTCTCCTGCTCATTATTGGGAAAATTTTTGCTTCTTAGAATTATGCAATGGTTAATGTAGCATCGAAAACAATTGAAAATAGTAATTTCAACCTAATTGTATACACTTCACCTTAACTAGGAAATCGTCGCCTACGTATGCGTCGAGCTGGGATAAATAGAACGAGATTTATCCCCTGGTACCCTATTGGTTCATAATTAGACTTTCTCACAAGAAAGACTAGCTAGAAGTAAAACTGTGCTAGTAATCACTATGATGCTGAGATTTTTGCAAAACTTGGATCCCAGGACATATTCAAACTCGTGATTACCTTTGCTAGGATGTTACGTGTTACCAACTGCATCACTGAGGCCCTTGTTTTGTATTTCACATCATACTCTGCCGTGAAGGAATAATAATAGGCTGTGAATAAAGAGTAAACTATGCCATTAGTGGTCGCTGAACTTGAAGAATCTTAGCTGTAACTTAGTACACTGCCTTGGATCCACCTGAGACAACCACTGTTTGTGATGATAACACAGAAAAGCTATGCCAAGTCAGTTTTCTCGGTAGAACAAGAAAAGAAAAACTCTGCTCAAACAGTAAAGCATCAGTTAAACAGAAACTGGCGTTGTGGCTGCACTATTTGTTTATATTGGGATCTATCTAAATAACGAAGAACTTTGAAGACTTTTGTTTCATGATGCTCTCTAATAGATAATTTAGCGTTCAGCCAACTAATTTTGCTAAAAATCTTCAGTAATGTGCCATTTATCAAAATTACGAAAAACAAGAAGTCGAATATATTTTCGCAGTGGATAACTCGTGTGGATACGGTGTGAGGCAAAGATTGATTTTTTTCCTTTCCTTTTCTGCACTTATTTAGGTCTTCTAATGGTGTACAGTAGTGTTCCACCGAGATCTAAGGAACAGTAGAAGAAACAGAGAATTCGTTTTCGCGGAATCGTAAAACTTGTTTTGAAAACTTTCACTACAATTTACGCGTGCTTTTTTTTCAATGTCCGTAACGGAACCTTCTTCGCTTAGAAAGTGTTCTGACCGCACAAATTTTTTCCCACTTAGAACTGTTTGGCGAAATTTACTAATGAGAATTTTTGATGTGTTGTCGATTGCGACTCCAAGGGACTTTTTCCACCTCCCAGGTCTTGCCAGTTCTTTTTGGAGTCTTTTACATTAGTATATTGATATAGTGATAGAAGTATAATGTTTGTGAATTTAAACAGTCAACGGTAGCTTGTCTTTGCACAAAGTTGAGTTCGATTAAGATTTTTCCACTATGATTAAAAAAGACTTTAGGTCAACGCAAAGCAGTTTTTTTCTGACTTTCCCCAAAAACTCATAAATTTCCTGAAAACTACACACTATGCCATCCTTCCTGTAATGTGGAAGACATTTTCCTTCTTACTGTCTAAGGTACAGTTAGATTTGTGTACGCATGAAATAAAAGGAAATAAATGCGAGAAGAGCGATGTTAAAGTGTTCTCTAGTCTACCTGCATTGTTATACCTTTAATCATAGAGAGTTGATCGTTCAATAAATACAAAGATTAATTTTAAACCAATAATGAAACAAACCTGATGAAAAACATAATGCTAGAAATAACGGTAGTGTCATCAATGTACAATGCTTCATAGTATAATAAAAAATAGTCTCTTTGCTCTGCGCACAGAGAACGAAATTGCTAAAGAAGTCAGCTTCAAGATGAAAGTCTGAAATCGTGTCAATAGGACTATTTGCGTTGACGCATACAAATATACATTTCCTAATACAAGCATACATGCAAACATACGTACACACCATAAGCACGCATGGATGTACAAACATGCATGCATACATACATACATACATATTGATTC